TCCTTCCCAGTGTCCCTGGTCTGCTTCTCCCACCTAACTTTATCCTGCCCAGCTATTGGCCATTCAGCTTTATTAAATCAATCACAATGACACCTACTCACCCAGGATAGTGGAAAAGAATAGTTCACACACTATGTATGATATATGCTAATAAAAACATTTTCAACTAATAAATTGAGTAAAGTATGGGGCCACATGCTTCTCATTTAGCACCAGAAAGTAGGAAGCAGGATGAGTATGAGTTCAGCATTATCCTCAGCTACATAGTGAGTCCAAGACCAACCTGGGCTGTATGAAACCCTGTCTCAACAAACACATCTGTAAATTGTGTACTTGGATAAATTATATATGTAAATTATGCATTGTAGTGAATTTTCAGACATTGTTACTGTTTTTCTGTCCACATGTCTTATGAGTCTTAATTATTTCTTTTTGTAGTCGTTCTACCCTGTCACCCAGGCTCATCTCAAACTTGTGATCCTCCTGTCTCAGCCTCTTAAATGCTGCTGAGATTACAGGTATGAGCCACCTTGCCCAGCTACCTCTTAATATTTTCTGAGCATTCTTTTGTGTATTCTTTCCTGTAAAGACCTATACTATGTATCTTGGGCTAACAAATTAAAAGAGAAAAGTTTAGTTTGACTTGTGATTTCAGTCCCTAGTCACTTGGCCCTATTGCCTCTTGACCCATATGTAACAAGGCAAAAAGAACATCATAGCAGAGGCATGCAGTAGAACAAAATGCAGATAGGGAGACAGACAAGGACTGGGACAAGACATTCCCAGCAGAGGCAGGCCCCGTGGCCTACTTCTGCGGTCCCTTCCATCCCCTAATAATGCTGTCATATTATGACTCTATCAGTGAATTAATCCATTGATTGGGTCAGGCGCTTCATGATTCAAATGCTTTACCAAAACCCCGGCTCTGAACATTGTACTGGGGACAAATCTTTCAACACAAGAGTTTTGAGAAGCAGAGCTTCAGTCTGGAGTCTTAGACCACTTAGGCATCCTGACAACCAGCATGTGAGTTTTGGAAAGACGTTGTCATATCTGCTGTGGTTTGATCATCAGGAAATGGTAGGGTTCCTGTATAATATGGGCACAAAAAAGTATGTCTGACATTCAGGTGGCCTATTGATATTCCTTATGTGTCCCTCACCAGCCTTGAACTCACTGTGATCCTAATTTGGCCCCAGACTCAATGATGTTCTTGCATGAGTGTGAGGTGGGGGTGCTGGGATTACTGTATGGACTATGTCATTGGTGAAGATACTTATGGGATGAATATTACTATTCTAAATGAAAGTTCCAAATGATTTAGAACAGAGTGAGACAGAAAAAGATAAAGGGGGATCATGAGTTAAAAACCCTCTCTCTTTGATGGAAACCTCTTCCTTTCTCTATTCCTCTGCCCTACATGCCCTAATGTTTCTGCCTCTAATTCTTGCTTCCATACCCTTGTACCTTTCTCCATGACCTTTCTCTTCATATTCTTCTAGTGGACAAGTCTAATTCTTGCTCATGCAGAACTCAAGTATTTAAGCGAAGGACTTCACATGAGTTTTGAAACTCCCTCTTGCATGAATGCTTAGAGAATTAATTCCACCAGAGGCATCTCTGTTTTTCCACATGCTCACAGTCTCAGACATTAAAGACAGATGGAAACTGATACTCTGTATTTCTCCCCATGGAAGGTCCCCTTCAGAAAATGATATTTTTTCTGAGGCAATGTATTCATTGAATCCATTGTTAGCTACATTGACACAGAAAGTTGCAGCCTAAGAAGCATCCCATTCTGCAGATCAAATGGCATGCTAAAACCATAGTGCTATGTATGCTGTGTCTGTGGTGAGTATGTGTGTGTTGAATCCTAATCCCCAGTGTCTTAGTGGAATAGTGGTGCCACCCAGTGGTAGGGGACTCCCTGAGGCCCTGGGTTTCATCCTCGACACTGCAGACACAAAACAAAACAAGGACGAAGCTGAGCATGGTGATACCTGTAATCCAAGTCCTTGCAGAGACAGGAGGGTTGCCTATGCGTTCTAAGTTTCAAATCAGTCAGGGTTCTATAGTAAGACCCTGTTCTTACAAACAAGCTAACAATCACCAAACCAAACCAGCTAAACAAAACTGGAGTCATATATGGTGGTAAATGTCTGTAGGCCCAGCATTTGGAAGACAGAGGCAGGAGGATGAATTCTATGTTCTTATGATTCTGAAGGAGTCATTTAACTGAATGAGTTGTCTTCTCAGCCCTATAATTCTTTTTTAATAATAATTTATTTTTTGAGATTTATTTTTATTTTATGTGCACGGGTATCCCCCATCCCGTGTCTGTGTGAGGATGTTGTATCCCTTGGAACTAAAGTTACAGATAGTTGCATGCTGCCCATGTGGTTGCTGGGAATTGAACCTGGATCGTCTGGAAGAACAGTCAGTGGTCTTAACTGCTGAGCTATTTCTCCAGTGCCCCCAGAATTCTTTGTAAGTAAGTCTTATAACATTGAAAGACAGTGCTTTACTCTCACCCACATCGACTGTAGGTTTGTGAAGATAGTGACAGAAACTTAGGTTACCAAAGTCCAAAGCTTATTTGAGGGCTCTGGACCCACATTACATTTCCTGGTTAACTATATACAAACGTATACAGATACATGGGACAGTCCTTGTTCCTTTGGCCCACACTTCACATTTACAGAAAATGCCCCACTCTCTTTGAGTGCTGGGGGAGCATAATTTGTGCCACATGAAAGAGCTTGTGAATGTTCCTGTCTGTTCTCAGTCACTGACAGTAGAAGGGTACTTTTTCTTTCTACCCTCTGCTGGAGCCATTCTGTCAAGCTACACTGGAAAGGAAGGGCACTAGAGCATCTGAAGAGAACTCCCTTATAAGGCATCAATGTAAACTTTACCTATTTGCTTTACCTGGAGCCTGGAGGCACTAACATTTACAGAAATAGTGCTCATAGTGGGCTGGGGATCTATCTGTTCATCGTGTTTGCCTAGAATGCAAGATGCATTAGGTTCTATGATCAACACTACATAAGCCAGATGTGTTGGCACATGCCTGGAAGGTAGAGGCAGGAGGATCAGAAATTTAAGGTTGTTCTGGGAATATTGCTCATAGGTAGAGCATTTGATTTGTCAAGTGTGCAATGCCCTAAATTCAATTCCCAAGCACCACTGAAGAAGTTGGAAAGTTTCCTAGGTCGTCCTTGGCTCTAACATGAGTTGAGTCAAGGACAAGATACAGGAGACTTTTTTTTTTTTTTAAAACTTTTCCCCAAAACCAAAAAGAATGCTTGAAGATAAGATTTCCTTTCTGGTTGTTGTATATCTATGATTTGGATGGGTTGATGTCCTTCCCTATGCAAAAGCTAGTGTTCAGTTATGAAGCATGAATAAGTTATAGACATCTCTTGTATAATATTGTACTATATTCATTTTGCTGTCTTTCCATTGAATGGATTTGCATGTTCTAGACATAAAGTCATATGTTACGTGGTTCCTTTAACCTTGTGTAGTATTTCCAAGGTTCAATCATCACAGTATGTATCCGTATTTTAAACTTTTAGAAAGGTATTTATTTATGCCAGGTGGTAGGAGTGCCCAACTTTAACCTCAGCACTCGGGAGGCAGAGGCAGGCAGATCTTTGTGAGTTTGAGGGCAGCCTGGTCTACAGAGCGAGTTCCAGGACAGCCAGGGCTGTTACACAGAGACAACCTGTCTCAAAAAATGGGGGAAAGTTTATCAATATATCTATTTATTTTCAAACAGGATCTCAATATGTAGCCCTGGCTGGCCTTGAACTCACAGTAATCCTCCTGCTTTTGTCTTCCAATGTCTAGGATTATAAGCATGAGCCACCAGGACTGTCAATATTTTATACTTTTTTTTAAAAGAGTTATTTATTAATTATGTATATAATTTTCCCTGCATGTATGCTGCAGGCCAGAAGAGGGCACCAGATCTCATTACAGATGGTTGTGAGCCACCATGTGGTTGCTGGGAATTGAAATCAGGACCTGGAAGAACAGTCAGTGCTCTTAACCTTTGAGCCATCTCTCCAGCCCTATTTTATACTTTTTATGAAAAAAAAATTCTACCATAATCTACCTTTTTAATGTTTGGGACAGGTTCTCACTATAAAGTCCTGGTTGGCTTAAAGTTTATTATGTAGACCAAGCTGGCCTTGAACATGCAGAGATCTTCTTGCATCTGCTTCTACAGTAATGGCATTGAAGTTGTGAACCACCAAGATCATCAAATTTATCCATTCATAAATGATAGACATTTGAGTTTGTGTTCTTTTTAATTTTTTTGTTGTGTTTTGTTTTTGGAGACAGGGTCTCTTTATGTAGTCCTGGCTGGCTGTTCTGGAACTGGTTACGTAGACCAGGCTGGCCTCAAACTCATGAGATTCTCCTGTCTCTGCCTCCTAAATTCTGGGATTAAAGGTGCGTGCCAACATGTTCATCTATCTGTTCATGATCTTTAGCTATTAGAATAATGCCACAAACACTTATATGCATGTTTTAATACTGAAATATGTATTTCATTTCTCTTGGGTAATATTAGGGTTGGAAATGCTGAGTCAGATGTTAACTCAATGTTTAATCTTTTGAGAACTGCCAATGATCTAGTTCAATCATACTTTCAAATAAAGGGACTTGAATACAAAAGTATTGGATCTAACAGTGGCGACTTCTGTATACTATTTTGCTGGATTCCTCACTTGTTGATACTCAACATTTCTTCCTTTAATGTCTCTGACCAGACAGAAGTAGCAGTAAGAGAGACCACTACTATACTCCCAATATTGATGCATGGAATCCAAATGTTTGAAGTGTTAGGAATCTTAAATGGTCATATTTTATAAATCCTGAGAGTGAAGGAGGCGTGCAGATCCCTTTTAAGTTCAAGCCTAGACAGGACTACATAGTTAGACCCTGTCTCAAAAGAAAAACAAAAGTGTTCTCTTTATTTTGTATTTTAGAGCCAGAGAAACAAGGAGAAGAGTATCCCTACTTGTTGGAGCAGGTGACGTATTATTAACAGATGGGGAAAAAAGGATTCAAATTTTGTTTTGTTTACATCAATTTAGACTTGAAACCAATCATGTGGCTCATAAAGGGGAAAACTGATGAATTAGAGTTCCTCAATTAAAGCTTTTCATCAGGCATGGTGGCACACCCTTGAATCTTAGAACAGGGGAGGTAGAGGCGGGAAGATCAGAAGTTCAAGGTCAGCCTTGGCTACTTAGTAAGCTTGAGACTAGCCTTGCTGACATTAAGATTCTGAAAACTCAAGCTTTTATTCAGCAAAGTCCTGCATGAAGAAAAGAAAAAGGCAACCTACAAACCAGGAAAAATATTTTTAACCAGTAGAATTTTAAAAAAAATAGGGGCTAGATTGATGGCTTAGTGATTAAAAACACTAGCTGTTCCACGAGATGACCAGGGTTTGATTCTCAGTACCCACATGGCAAATCACAACTGTTTATAGCTCCAGTTTCAGGGGAACTGATGCCTTTTTCTGGCCTCCATGGGCACCAGGCATGGTACACAGACATACAGGCAAGCAAGACACAAATACATAAAATAAAATTTAAATTAAATAATTAATGGTAAATTATGAGATTATAATGATTTCACTAGTAACATTAAAAACAGGTAGATAAAAACAACCTATATATGATGCTATAAGTGAATAGTCCAATATTCCATACCAAAGAATGATACTTAGTAATAAAAGGAATGAATGGTAATCTCAAGAGCTAAAGGCAGGAAGGCCAGGAGTTCAAGTCCAGCCCTGGCACTAGAGGTTAGATCAGTCTGTGCTGCTTGAGATCCTGTTAAAACAAATAGACAGAGAGAAAAAGAGAAAAACCCACTCAAAATTTTCTCCTTATAATGATTTCTTTCAGTTAATTTGTCTCAGTAACAAAGAATATGACGAACGGTCTGAAATATATTTGGCAAAAGAATTATAACAAAATATGTACAATAACTTCTATAACTCACTAGTAAGACCTGAAACTAACAAAAAACCTAATTCATGCTAGAAGAAAATATATAGTCAAAATACATGATAAAATGTTCACCTTTGTTAATCATCAGAGTGAAATTACTAGGAGATATTGCAAAGCATATATTTGCAATAATAGCTGAATTGGAATGGAGAGATGACTAAGTGGTTAAGAAACCATGTTCATAACCATGAACTGGAGTTTAGATTCCAGAAATAAGGTAGCAATGCCCATAGCTCTACTTCTGAGAGAGCCAATGCCCTCTTCTTGACCCAGGAGTGCAGCCATGAACACATATATGTGTATACAGTCAGACACACTAACACAAAATAAAATGATTTTTAAAGTATATTTTTTATTGTGTATGTGTATGTGCATGCACGAGAGAGAGAGAGAGAGAGGGGGAGAGAGAGAGAGAGAGAGAGAGAGAGAGAGAGAGAGAGAGAGAGAGAGGGAGGTGGAGAGAACACGTGAATGCACACGAGTGAACATAGGGAGCAGCTGTGAAGATCAGAGGACAACTTAGGGAAGTAGTTCTCTTTTTCCACCATGTGGGTTCCAGGAATCAAAGAGGTTCTCAGACGTGGTAGCAAGCGCCTTTCCTGGCTCAGCTATTTCACAAGACCATAAAATAAATCCTTAAAAAGTGGCTACCTAAACAGCAAATGCTGAGAACCAGCATCTGGCACTCATAAATGCTATTATGTGTGGAAACTGGTAAGTGTGTGTAAAACTTTGGAAAGCCATGTGATTTTTTTTTTTTTTTTTTTGCTATTTTGGTTAGTTTTAAATGCTTAATTCTCTGACAGTTTCATATGTTTATATGATGAAATTTAGTCATTTTCAACCTCCATTTGCCTCCTATTCTCCTCCCTCTATTTTCTGACAAGTTATCCTCTTAATTTTGAGTCTTCTTTTTGTGTGAGGACCTCTGAGTTTAATTAAAATTCTTCCCTGGGTATGGCTGGGAGATTCCCTGGAGCAAGGAGAATTTAGTAGAGGCCACATGAAGGAAATGACACCCCTCTCACCAACACCTCTTAGCTGCTAGTACTTCATCAGGATGAGGTGGGGCCTCCTGAGTCCCTCCCTACCTATGAGGACATGTTGAGGGCCCAGTCTGCTGCCGGTCTTGTATAGCTAGCCACAGCTGCAGTGCATTCAGGATTATGGTCGGTGGATCTGGTCCGAATGATGTGTTTCTGCTGCTCATCTCCCCATCTCCTGTCTCCTCCATTTTTTTCTGCTCCCCAAGCCTTAGAGAATATGACACAGCTGTTGCATTTAAGACCAAGCACTCTGCCATCGCATGCTCTCAGTACTTCAGACAGTTATGTTTCTGCCTTCACTGCTACCCTCTGCCATAAGAAGTGTCTCTGGTGACAGGTGGGCCCAGCACTTATCTATGGGTAGAAATATGAGTACTTAGGTGGTTTGCAAGACCACTTGGCAAGATTTGAATATAGCCCAGCAATGCTACTATTAAGAATTTATTAAAGTAGACATAAAACTTAGATATTCAAAGTCATATAAGAAGATCATCATGGCCACTCTATTTATAATAGTCTCAAACTAGAAACAGGTCAGCAGTCCATCTTCAGTTGAATAAATAGAGTATAATCATACATACAATTAAATACTACTCAACGATCATTACTAGCTCAAGGCTCGATGGGGGTGCTTGCCTATAATCACAACAGTTAGGAGGGAAAGGCAGGAGATCTTGGAGAGTAGCCTGGTGTACACAGTGAGATCCAGGTCAGCCAAAGCTACATAGCAAGACCCTATCCCCCCAGTCCAAAAGTTTGGTTGTCGATTGCTTTGGGTGGGCTACTCAGTCTAGGGGTTAGTAACCCACCCGCAATCAAGTTATTCCAGGGTCTCGGAGGGGCGCTACCTGGAAGGGAGTGAGCTAAGACAGAAGAACGAGGCCAAGCAACTTTGTCAAGGCCTCCGTTTACGTAGCTCGGTTACATTCAGACAGACAGGCCAGAAGTCACAAGTGGCCACACCTGGTTCCCTGGATAGCTGGAATGTGAGGCGGGTTCCGCTAAGATTAGCAGTTAATTGGGTGAGGGGCAGGTTTTGTCAATAGAACATAACTATGGGTGTGAGGTTCTCTGCAGACTCCCTAGAGTGATGGTCTCTGTAATGATTGTTAGGGGGGAAATGGCTCCTGACATTTGGTAGCATGGGTGAATCTCAGAAACAACAGGCTGAGTGAAAGAAGCCCAGTTGGTTGGTTTGTTGGTTTATTTTTTGATTTTTTTGAGACAGGGGTCCCCTGTGTTGCTTTGGAGCCTGTCACAGAACTCATTCTGTAGCTGGCCTCAAACTCATAGAGGCCTGTGAGGTCTACCTTGCCTCCCGAGTGCTGGGATTAAAGGCGTACACCACTGCCTCTTAGCTGAAGCCCAGATTTTTAAAACACGTAGTGTAAATACACTTAGTGGAAGTTTTGGGTTTTTTTTTTTCCTCTTTGGATTTTTTGAGACAGGGTTTCTCTATAGCTTTGGAGCCTGTCCTGGAACTAGCTCTTGTAGACCAGGCTGGCCTTGAACTCACAGAGATCCGTCTGTCTCTGCCTCCGAGTGCTGTGGAATTAAAGGCGTGCACCGCCGCCACCACCACCACCCAGCTGGTTTTTTGTTCCTTTTTTTTTTTAAAGATTTATTTATTTATTATGTATACAACATTCCTTCCATGTATGCTTGTATGCCAGAAGAGGGCGCCAGATCTCATTATAGATGGCTGTGAGCCACCATGTGGTTGCTGAAATTGAACTCAGGACCTCTGGAAGAGCAGTCAGTGCTCTTAACCTCTGAGCCATCTCTCCAGCTCCTGGTCTTTGGTTTTTCGATACAGGGTTTTATGGTGTAACCCTGGCTATCCTAGAACTAGCTCTGTAAACCAGGCTGGCCTCAGACTCACAGAACTCCACCTGCCTCTGCCTCCCAAGTGCATGCACCACCACCACCCGGCTCACTTATTGGAAGCTATAGAAGTATAAAAGGACCTATTGTGTTAGAGACTCAGATCCCAGTTACAAGAGGAGCCCAGGAGAAAGGAGATGGGAGAGGAAAGAAGACAATGCAGCTAAGGGAAACAGTGCATGCCACATGAATATGTTCTAGATTTTCTGTCGGGACAGAGTCTTGCTCTGTGGACCAATTGAACCTTGAGTTTATAGTGTTGGACTCTGGCGTCCAAACACCGAGGAGGAGTCGCCCCCAGAGACCATCTCACACATTACAGCCGATGCAAAAGCATGAGGATTTTATTAATTCTGTCATGACAGGGTCCCTCAGCATTTGGGAAGCCGAGAGACCTCGAATAGCGGGTACAGTCTACTTTTAAAGGGGCCACAGAAGCAAGGGGGGTTGTTCTTTGACTATTCTGATTGGCTTATTTGAAAGGGCTATTACCAATAATTGACTGGAGAGCTGTTGCCAGATCAGATGAGATAAGAGGTCATTTTGACCCCGTTTCCCAGGGGAC